CAAATATTAAGCGATTTCAAGCAAACTTGTCATAGGTTAGGTTATACTAATTTCAGAACGTTTTGCTCCTATTGGTGTCTTAGTGCGTCAATTACTTAAAATATGTGAGCTCTATATGTGCGAGCTATACAGAAATCTGGACCGATTTTCTCGAAACTTGGCAGACATCACTCTAGGCCCAATTCAGTACGTTATGCCAAATTTGGTGCAAATGAAAATATATATAGGGACTTTGGGGCACCATTACATGAAATCGGACGAAACTATATATGGGAGCTATATCTAAATCTGAACCGATTTTCGAGAAACTTAACACACATCATTCTAGACCTAATTCAGTACGCTGTGCAAAATTTCGTTCAAATCGAAAGATATATAGGGACTTCGGTGCACCATTTACATTAAATCGGACGAAACTATATGTGGGAGCTATATCTAAATCTGAACCGATTTTCTTGAAACTCAGCACACATCATTATAGGCCTAATTCATTACGCTGTACCGAATTTCGTGCAAATCGAATCATATATAGGGACTTTGGTGCACCATTTACATGAAATCGGACGAAACTATATATGGGAGCTATATCTAAATCTGGACCGATTTTCACGAAACTTGGCAGACATCATTCTAGACCTAAATGATTAGGCTGTACCAAATTTCGTGCAAATCGAAAGATATATAGGGACCGTTCACATTAAATCGGTTAAATATATATATGGGAGCTATATCTAAATCTGAACCGATTTTTCCCAATTTCAATAGGGTTCGTCCTTGGGCCGAATAAGTGACCTATGCCAAATTTCATCCAATTCGGATCATAAATGCGACCTGTACTTTGTTTACAATTTTACATGGACAGACGGACGGACGGACGGACGGACGGACGGACGGACAGACGGACATGCATAAATCGACTCAGAAAGTGATTCTATGCATATTCTCAAAAGGAACCATGGGTCTAACTCGATTATTTTTGCCTGTTACAAACATATGCACAAAGACATAATACCCTGTACCACAGTGTGGTGAAGGGTATAATTACAGGATTAAGGTATGGATTAAGGAATTTCGTACTTAAAGTTACTAAAACACTAGATGGTACTAAATATGGTACATTTTGGTTTGTGAAAACGGACTGAGCGGCAATCCTAAAATTTTGAATTAAAATTACTGACAGAAGTGTAGGATTTGTACTAAATTTGATAAAATTTAAATTTGGCTGAACGGATAGAGATGGAAAAGTCATATATCGTGTAAGACAATGGCAATTCCTTGAAGACACTTTGCAGACAACAATGTGAAATCGTTGACGAAATTTTCACACAAGTGTCGCAGTATTTATGCACGACAACTTGGGCGACAGGGTAAGCGAAGTCGTCGTTGACGACAACTTCGGGGACTAATCTCCCTACTTTTCGTTAACGACAGATTCACTTCCACATTAGTTGATGACTGTATACCAATTGTCACCAATATTGTCGTCGATAATACTCACATACTCCATTTAAAATTCAAATAAAAATGTATATACATACATATTTTTCATGTATATTTTTTATAGCATGAAATTTATTATATTACAAAAACATACCTTATATTTACACAATATATTGTGTAAGATAAATAACCACATTGCCTGAGAAGTTGGCGTAATGATTATCTCCATTTTAACAGCATCTGTAAAGAAACAACAAAATTAAAATGCATTGGAATATGAAACATCTTTCGGATATTACTTACAATACTTCAGCAATTGACATTTATTTTCCCCATGCTAAGAGTAAAACAATGCATTTAAATAATGATACAAATAGTTATATATTCTTTTAAACTTACCTACTTTAACAAAGATAGCACGTCTTCTTTATCTCAAATTTCTTATATATATTTATTTTCAGAAAGAATTTTCTATTTGTTTCTGTCAATATTTCATAGTACACTCGATTCAGACTATTTTTGTTTTGTTTTCATATTTCGAGAAGAACGACATTTTCGACGACATATCATGTGTTTAGTCATGAATGGCAATTCCATAAATTTCGTCAACGATTCGTTAACGAAATTGTCACGCAAGAGAGTATTTTCTACTGGGCTACTTTCCATACTGGCTTTTTTTAATTTTATGGTTTTTGAGTTACACGTATTGAAGGCGTGTGCTAAGTTTAGTTAAAAACGAGCCTGATATACATTTAACTTATATATACATATATATTCGACCGATTTCCTCTAAATGGTGCATTAATCTGAGCCCATAATGATGTGTATTAAGTTTCCTTTAAATCGGTTCAGGTTTAAAATGACCCTCTATATATTTTGATCCGATTTTATGAAGATATAGATATAACCTGTATAAATTTTTATCCGATTTCATGTAACTTGTGCACCAAATAACCAACGTTGCTCCTATTGGGATGAAATTTTGGACAGATCTTCACACATAGTTTTGTTCAATTTCATAGAAATAGTAAGCCAAGAACCCTTAGTGTGCCGAACGGTCATGACATTTTCCATAGATTGAACAATTGTTATGTGTACACATTGATTAACATCGATTCATATATGTATATAGATCAGATATTTCATTTCGTCCGATTTCATGCCAATGGCTCTCCAAAGATGAGATGTTTTTTCTATCGGCAGGATATTGTCGACACATTCAATCAAAATTAGTAGTAATATATTTCTTGTGCTGGTTTTAAATCGGTATATTTATTTCAGTAGGTTACACCAGGATTCTTAGGAGCATCTATTGTGTGTTGTGAAGGTTATCATATAGTCGCGCTAGTCCAAATGTTAAACTTTCCTTGCAGGTCTTAGTTGAGGAATGCGGGTCTCTTAAATTAAGAAGAGGGACAGAGGTTGGACATTAGGAAATAAACACTCATGAGAACGATGTCGTCTAACATTCAAGCGTCAGGGAGATTATATTTGTTGCAATGTGACCTTATAACTTATACAAGACGCCAATTCCTCCACGACATTTTTTCATTTTTTAGCTGGCTTGTTACAGAACGGTTGTTCCATAAAAAGTCATTTTCATTCATCCACACAAAATGGCCTAGCCACCGTAGTCGCTGCAGCTCAATACGACTGACTATGTCGATGTCCGCGTATAAATTGTAAAGCTCGTGGTTCATTCGACGCCGATATTCACCGTCGACGCAGATCGGCCCGTAGATCTTTCTCTCAAACACCCCAAGAGCTACACAGAAAAAAAAGCCACCCCGAAATTTTTGATTAAAAGCTTCATCAGCGTTCGACAAAAAGATGTCGATAACATATTTCAAACGTAGTCGGAAATGTTTATCAAATACCAACAATTCACAAAAAAAAACCATCAACAAACGAGTTTGACCAAAAAAATTATTAAATTTGTTGGACAATTTTTAATAATTTTTTTTGTAATATGCCATATTATTTTTTATTACGTTATTACAAAGTACTTTGTTGAATAGATTGTAAAATATAGATAACAAATATATGTTTTTATTCGGTATAGAGCTATACATTTAGTTTAAAGCCGTTAAAATACTGAAAATTTGGAGGTATTTTTGTGGGAGAGAGAGGTTTTGTATCGTACTACAAGAAATTTAATTTGAAATAATAATAATAATTTGATAAACAAGATTGTCAATATGAAAAATATTTTATCGATTAACAAAATAAAATTCAACAAAATTTTTAGTATATATGAGAATTGCTTTATCAAAATATTTTCGAATGGGATTACAATTTTTTTATCGGCGATTGTAAATATGAACATTATTTTTATCGGCAAAAAATCAATCAAATTTTAATTGGATTTTTGAATTTTTTTATCAAATGGTTACAATTTTTTTTTTCTGTGTACCTCACCTGCTTGCGCAAGTACTCATGCTTCTGATCCATATAATAGCACGAGTAGTATCAGCGTCTTGTAAAGTGTGAGTTTGGTCTGGCGGGAGGTGGCCTTGTTTCTAAACTGCTTACTTAGACCATAGTAGCATCTGTTGGTCATCACAATCCGTCTCCGAATTTCAAAATTGATGTCATTCGTTTTATTTATGGCGGTACCAAGGTATATAAAGTCTTTAACTACCTCGAAGCTCTAGTTCTCAAGTTCCACAGTTGGTCCGAGTCTACTGGACGTCTTGCGCGTTGATGCCATCAGCTTGGTCTTCTCGCCGTTTACTGCCAGACCCACTTTGGCAGACTCCTTTTCAATTTGTTCAAAGGTGGCTGTTACCGCTCGCAATGTTCGACCCATTATATCGATGTCATCGGCGTAGGCGAGTAACATGTGTTGTTTGGTGTACAGAGTGCCATTTCTGTTCACCTTTGCGTCTCGTATGACCTTTTCCAGTAGGATGTTAAAAAGATCACACGACAAACTGTCACCTTGTCTGAATCCTCGTTCTGTGTTGAAGGGCTCCTCCACGACAATGTTGGGATAATAAACAATCCGTTGGGATCATACACGGCCTGTCGACCGTCTATGGCTTATTATTTAACTCTAACTATCTGCAACATGAGGACTTTAGAAAGGTTTTTATAATTGGGAGTAATAGAGAATAGAGGCGCCAATTCTGTGAATTATAATATCATGATCCGCAACCAGTGGACGTTAGAAAAGTTACTTTAGTTGTGAAGTGACCTAAAACATGTCGCTGGCGCCAATTCCGTGGATTTCCAATAACCACAACTTGTGGACTCCAGATAGCCGATTAATGTTAATGCGAATTGCGGATATATACAATATCGTTCAGATCTATTCTCCGTAGACAGTTTGATATAACCCATTTCGGAAATCAAAAATACCGTTCTGAATACTTATTAAAATTGTCATTATATACAATTTTTGGAAGGTAAGAGTCTTCAAACGCGATCTGACCACAATCAAAAACATAATGTTCGACATTTATTATTATTTTTTTATTATTCAATAATTTGTTAGCAATAATAACAATATGGTGATTCGAAATATTCGTTACAAGATCGTTATTTAAAAGATACGTGATTTAAAGGCATCCCGCAGCTGCTCCATAACCCTGTCCGAAGCTGTTGCCATAGACATAACCGTAAGAAGGAATAATATTACTGCCATAACCATATGATCCAGCACCATAAGATCCAACACCATATGAACCGGCACCGGTATATGCAGCACCAACAGTTGAGGTTACTACGGGGGTAGTAACGGCAGTAACGACCGGTGTGGTAACGGCAGTAGTTGCAGGAGCCACAGCAGCACCGTAACCATAAGATCCAACACCATACGATCCAGCACCATATGAACCAACACCATACGATCCGGCACCGTAAGATCCAGCTCCATATGAACCGCTGGGAACTAGAGTCACCTTGACAACTTTAACATTATTGCCATAGCTGGGACCATAACCGCCATAATTGCCACCATAACCATAACTTCCGCCGCCATATCCAGCACTATAGCCTCCACCATAACTTCCACCATATCCAGCGCTATAGCCGCCAGCATACCCTCCTGCCAAAGGTACACTAGCAATTACATCAAATGTGGCCTGTGCAGGTGCCAACAAGGCAACAACCAAAGAAAGGACGCAAACGAAGAATTTCATTTTTAAAATATGGTGTAGGTTTAAAATCTATATCTCTCCTCTGGATTCCGCTATGTTCTTCCAATGATGGAACGTAAACGACTAATGGCATTAATGGAATATAAGGATGATTTTATAGTACAAACTAATGCTTTTTCATATGGCTTGACAATAAGGAATCATTGTTTCAAGTAATTTTTTTTGTTTCGTTTGCAGTTTGTCCACGATAGTTAAACTTTAGTTGTATGCATCCGTTAAATTAAGTAGGTACGCAGTTCGCAATTGTTGTTTATTTTTGTAGTTAAGTAAAGTATTGAAACATAAAAATTCGCACCTTAACTTTCAATTCATAATCAATTTGCCATGATGGCTAAAAAGTTGTACGTTTGTAACTTATAAGTGGAAACAAGATTTAAAAATGTGCATTCAATCAATTTCTGAGTCAATTCATACATGTCATTTACATTGCAATCAAAATATAGGTCGGATTTATAATCCGAATGAGATGAAATTTGGCTCAGCCCATTTAATGGGACCAACGACGAAACCAATTGAAATTGAAAATTGATTTATTTTATTTACCAGAAATTTAGCATAGCGTAATTAATTGAATCAAGAAAGGCGTGCGCTAAGTTTTGAAATCGAGCCAGATATAGATTTAACTTTTATATATGTACATACATTTTCGATCGATTTCTTCTATGTGTAAAATACCCAATATGTTCGATTGCGATGAAATTTTCCACAGCGTTGCTATCTGAGCCTATAATGACGTGTATTAAGTTTCCTTTAACTAGCTTCAGATTTAAAATTAGCTCCTATATATTTTCATCCGATTTCATGAAGATGTAGATATAACCTGTATATATTTTCGCCCGATTTCATGTAACTTGTGCACCAAATAAATAACGTTATTCCGATATAGATGAAATTTTGGACAGAGCGCTTTGCTACAGCATACCAAATCGCGTGTGAAAGGGTTGCTTCAAAATGTATAGATATTTTCCCTTACTCTGCTCAACTGACATGACATTTACCATAGATTGAAGAATTTACATGTGTATGGATTGATTAACATCGGTTCACACATACATATAAGCAATATTGCCAATTTTTATACCCTACACAACTTTGTTGTCACGGTATTATAGCTTTGTGCAGCCCCAAAAGTTTGTAACGTCGCGAAATATTGGAAATATTGGTCCTGGACCCGCCTTTAAGTATACCGATCGTCATATCTCGACTAACTGAGTCGATCTAGAAATGTGTGTCCGTCCGTCTGTCCATTATAATTTGTAAACACGATACAGGCCACAGTTATGGACCAATCTTCATAATTTTGTGTAAAAAATTACCAAAGATGTATTCTATAGCATATATATTTACTCCTGAAGGACATAGACCAGAGAAATTTATAGTATATCCAAGAGGAGTTGTTGGCCTTTAAATTGATACCAGTTATATTGTCGTATGTGCTCGGATATGAGAGTTACACTTAAATATTTACAGGTGCTTACGTATTCCGTAACCCATTACCACACTGTATGGCGGAAATATAGTGCTAATCGCTTTAAAAATTTCCATGAGGTTCCGGTTATGGTCAAGGACAACGTGTTGATGATCAGATAATAATTTTGGGATGAAGTGGACAGGTGTTTTTTTTTTCAATATTGTGTACATGGCATTATTGACTCTAATCGAATATAGATATTGACTGCTGCAGAAAGTTAGAGTTCCGTGGTAGTTGTGTAGGGTATCATATGGTCGGCCCGGCCCGACTATACTGCTCCGCTCACCGGTTTAATATTCCATTTTCAAAAAAAAATTGTGTTTTTTATTTTTTGTTTTCGTAATATGTCAATGATATTTGGTACAAATATAAGGAAAAATTCCCTGACTCCGTTCGCGATCAAATTTTTGGATGATGCGCGCAAAAGTTATCGAGGTTTCAATTTTGTGTATAAGAAACAAATCTTAAAATACAACGGCAACAAAACAAGATATTGAGGAAAATTATTTGTTTTTGGTTCGAAGAAATAATGGTTCTATAATAGGAATAAATCTTAAAATAAAACTATATTATGAAATATTCATTTTAAATTGAGTCTAAATCGCGTAACCCCCAAAATCATTTGATGCGCATGCGGTTTCCAGGAAATACTGAAGATTATCTTCCGATCCACGTATATTTTTCATTTTGCGGCTAAAATGTACTATAATTTCCGAAAAGTCCATATGCTTTTAACGCGCATCCGATTTCGGTGTGCACCTTAAAAATACATTTATCTATATCTATTTCAATCCGGTCCATTAAGAACCATGATGCGGTAGCTCTGACTATTTGTGACATAATTTGGGTACATCTCCCTTTCTCCCTAAAGTTTTTAAAGTACTGTTTTCGCAAAAGTTCAAACTCCGTATCAGGTCATTTATTGAAACGGAAATAATCCACAAAAAAAGCTTACTGATCGCGGATAGTCATATGAAATATATATCAAATTGTTCAGCTTCGCGAGTACAACAATGCTAAAATTAATTTTTGGAAATTCGTGATTGGCATTGAAACTAAACGAAAATTAAAAAAAAAACTAAAAATGTCAGCATCATTCAAAGGTAGAGGCTGGGTTGGGTTGCCTCACCCTGTTTTTACCCATTTTTATACACTTTAGCACACTGTGGTACAGGGTATTGTCTTTGTGCATATGTTTGTAACAGGCAAAAGGAATCGAGATAGACCCATCCCTTTGAGAATATGCATAGAATCACATTCTGAGTCGATTTATGCATGTCCATCCAAGTATTTTTTTGAACAAAATATAGGTCACATTTATGATCCGATTTGGATGAAATTTGGCACATGTCACTTATTTGGCCCAAGGGCGAACCCTATTAAAAATCGAAAATCGGTTGAGATTTAGATAAAGCTCCCATACATAGTTTCGTCCGATTTTAAGTAAATGGAGCACCATACTGTCAATATTGGTCCGATTGAGACAAAATAGAGTACTGAATTAGGTCCAGATTGATGTATGCGAAGTTTTGTTGGAATCGGTTCAGATTCCATAAATAGCTTCGTCCGATTTTATAGCTCCCATATATATATATATATATATATATTCGTTCGATTTTATGTAAATGGAGCACCATATTGCCAATATTTTGGAGGAGCCTATGTCTGATCGCTTTACATGAAATATTGCATATCGTATTGGTTTGCAGACGTTTCAGGTTTAGATATAGCTTCCATATATATTTTCATCCGATTTCATCAAAATGATGTACCAAGTAACTAAAGTTTGTCAAATATCTATGTACGCAGGTGATTTCGTCCGATTCCATTTCAATGGTCCTTCAAATATGATATGTCTATTCTATCTAAATGATATTGTACATACAAGCATCTCTTGTATATACCCAAAGTGGTGATGGGTATCATATAGTTGGCCCCGTCCGACTTTTGAACTTTCCTTACTGGTTTTACATTAAAGTAGACACATCATCCACATAAATAAACTTTGGAGGTCAATGTAACAAAAAGTTTGCAACGCAATTCCGGAGTTATGAAGGGATGAACCTCGGTTTCAGGCTGGGATCGTAGACACTAAGAACTTTTATATATTGTTTGATTAAGGGTCACCAATTCCGTGGATTTCCAATAAAAGCAACCCGTAGACGTTAAGGAGGTAACTTTAGTTAGGTAGAATTCTTAGATATAATGATTTTCAGGGGCGTAAATTCCGTCTCCACAATCTTGAGACCATACGCAGTCAGTAATTTCCTCCGAGGTTTCCCCCAAGACCATATTAAATTAGACTGATTTTTTAATGCTACCTGCATACGAATCCAATAGTATTCCAACCACTTTGGAATGCACACAATTTTAGAGTGGGAAAAATACCTCAAACGCGATTAGACCTTAATCAAAAACAGAATTTATCGACATTTATGATTAGTTTTTTATTATTTAACAATTTGTTAATCATAACAACAATTAAAAAAACTAGAAATATTTGTTAAAAAATAAAAATCGATTCGTTATTTAAAAGCATCCAGCAGCAGCTCCATAACCTTGTCCGAAGCTGTTGCCATAGCCTGCGCCATAACCATAAGAAGGAATAATATTACTGCCATAACCATATGATCCAGCACCATAAGATCCAACACCATATGAACCGGCATATGCAGCGCCAACAGTTGAGGTAACGACGGGGGTAGTAACAGCAGTAACGACCGGTGTGGTGACGGCAGCAGTCACAGGAGCCACAGCAGCACCATAACCATAAGATCCAACACCATACGAACCAGCACCATATGAACCAACACCATACGATCCGGCACCATAAGATCCAACTCCATATGAGCCACTTGGAACTACGGTCACCTTGACGACTTTAACGTTATTGCCATAACTGGGACTATAACCACCATAATTTCCACCGTAACCATAACCACCGCCATATCCAGCACCATAGCCTCCACCATATCCAGCACTATAACCTCCACCATATCCAGCACTATAGCCGCCAGCATACCCTCCTGCAGAAGGTACACTAGCAATTACATCAAATGTGGCCTGTGAAGGTGCCAACAAGGCAACAACCAAAGAAAGAACACACACGAAGAATTTCATTTTGAAAATAAGGTATAGTTTTAAAATCTATATCTCTCCTTTGGATTCCGCTATGTTCTTCCAATGATGGAACTCAAACGACTAATGACATTAATGGAACATTAGTATGATTTTATAGTACAAACTAATGTTTATCCATATGCGTTGACAATAAGGAAGCATTGTTCCAAACTACATTTGTTAAAAATTACTTTAACACATCCGTTTGTACAAATACACAAATGTTGTTTAATTTTGTGGTTAAATAAAATATTGAAACATTAAAATTCGCACTTTAACATTTAATTCATAATCACTGTGCCATGATGGCTTATAAGTTAGTGAACTTGCCCGGGCGAATAATTATATTTTCTGCCATACTGTGGAATACAGTCGTTGGCCTAATATTCCT